CCCTCCCGCCCCTGTCCCGCAGGAGCTGCACGCGGCCGAGGTGCGCAGGAACAAGGAGCAGCGAGAGGAGATGTCGGGCTAAGGGCCCGGGACGGGCGGCGCCCATCCTGCGACAGAACACGTTCGGGTTTCGGTTTTGTTTCGTTCACCTCTGTCTAGATGCAACTTTTGTTCCTCCTCCCCCACCCACGCCCCAGCTTCATGCTTCTCTTCTGCACTCAGCCGCCCCGCCCTGTCCTCGTGGTGAGTCGCTGACCACGGCTTCCCCTGCAGGAGCCGCCGGGCGTGAGACGCGGTCCCTCGGTGCAGACACCAGGCCGGGCGAGGCTGGGTCCCCCGGGGGCCTTGTGAGAGAGGTGGTGGTGACCGTGGTAACCACAGGGCGGTGGCGTGGGATCGCGGGTCCTTACACTGGGCTGTCTGGTCAGCATGTGCAGGTCAGGGCAGGTCCTCTGAGCCGGCGCCCCTGGCCAACAGGCGAGGCTACGGTACCTGCTGTCTTTCCAAGGGGAAGGGGCTCCCCATGCGGGAGGGGCAACGGGGGAGGGGGGGTGATGGTGCCTGGGAGCCTGCGTGTTAAGCGGGAGCTTGTTGAACTGGCAGGCAGGTGGGTGGGGGCTGCAGCTCTCCTTAATGTGGTTGCACAGGGGTCCTCTGAGACCACCTTGCCTGAGGTGGACACCCTGGGCCTTCCTGGAAGCCTGCAGTTGGCGGCCTGCCCTGAGTCTGCTGGGGAGTGGGCATTCTCTGCCAGGGGCCCATGAGCAGGCTGCCGTGGTCTAGAGGTTGTGGGCAGCATGGACAGTCCCCCACTCAGCAGTGCAAGAGTTCCAAAGAGCCTCTGGCCCAGGCGCCTCGGTGAGACAGCCCCGCCGCCCTCCCCCGCAGGGCTTTGCGGATGTCCTTGAAAGACCCGGCCTAGAGCCCTTTGGAGTGCTGGCCCCTCCTGTGCCCTCTGCCCTGGTGGAAGTGGCAGCCACAAGTCCTCCTCAGGGAGCCCTAAGGGGGATTTTGTGGGACCGCTGCCCACAGATCCAGGGTTGGAAGGGCAGCGGGTAAGGTTCACAAGCCACCCCCCACACCTTTCCCACTCGGCACCCAGAGAGGGCTGTGGGTCGAGGCCTGACTCCAGGCCTCTCCTGCCCACACCTTCTGGGCTGGGTTCCTTCTCTCCCTTGGATGCCCAGTGCTGGCCTTGGAGGACGGTCATCTGGAGGACGGGGGTAGGGGAGGCTGTCTTTGTACCACTGCAGCATCCCCCACTTCCCCACGGAAGCCCCATCCCAAAGCTGCTGCCTGGCCCATTGCTGTAAAATGTGAAGGGGGCAGCTGAGTTCTCTTAGGACCCAGAGCCAGGGCCCTCAGCTTCCATCCTGCGGGAGGCCTTGGCCAGGCACTGCCAGCGTCTTCCAGGGCCACACCAGGGACTATGGGAGGATCCTGACCCCTGCAGGGCTCAGGGGTCAGCAGGGACCCACTGCCCCATCTCCCTCTCCCCACCCAGACAGCCCCAGAGGGAGCAGCCAGCTGGGATGGGAACCCAAGGCTGCCCACATGTGGCTTTTGTGGGACTCAGAAAGGGAAGCAGAACTGAGGGCTGGGATTCTCCTCACGGTGGCAGCTCTCATAGCGAAAGCCTAGTGTAATATGCACCCATCTCATCCACGTAGTAAAGTGAACTTAAAAATTAAATCAAATGAACAATAAACACCTGTGTGTTTAAGACATGGTTGAACTGTCTGTGTGTGTCCTGCACCTATGGGCTCGGGGGCAGCTGCAGGCTCCCTGTCTGGGAGTGAGGATCTGCTCTGTGTGTATCTCCTGACTGAAGCTGGTTATAAATCTTATTTTATCACCATGATTATGAATTGTTCTAGTGGCAGTGGTGATTTTAACATATGAGCATGTCAGGCCGGGTGTGGTGGCTCACGCCTGTAATCTCAGCACTTTGGAAGGCCGAGGCAGGTGGATCACGAGGTCAGGAGATCGAGACCATCCTGGCTAACATGGTG